GGACTGGTGTGGGCTGAAAAAATTCTTTTTGTTTTTCTTTTTGGCTGTACCGCGTGGCAGGCATAACTTCCCTGCCCAGGGGTTGAACCCATGCCCCCTGTAATGGAAGTGCAGAGTCTTGGCCACTGGACCACTAAGGAAGTCCCTGACAAAGGTTTTTTAAAAAATTGATTTTTTTTATGACTGTGCTGGATCTTCGTTGCTGCACGGGCTTGTCTCTAGTTGCGGGGAGTGGGGGGCTACTCTCCAGTTGCAGTGTGCGAGCTCCTCTTGTGCAGCACAGGTCTAAGGCACTCGGGCTTCAGCAGCTGCTAAGAGTGGGCTCAGCGGTTGCAGCTCCTGGGCTCTAGAGCACAGGTCCAGTACTTGTGGCATATGGGCCTAGCTGCTCCGAGGCACTTGGGATCTTCCCAAGTCAGGGATCAAACCTGTGTCTCCTGCATTGGTAGACAGATTCTTTACCACTGAGCCACCAGGCATGCCCCTGACAAAGCTTTAAAAGACACCTCTGTTGCTGTGTTGAGAAGAGATGAGAGGGGCATGGAGGCAGTGACACAGTGGCCTGGTGGGAAGTACTGAAGGTGAGAGATCTGGATCCCTTTGAAGGTAGAAGTGACAGGATTCCCTGATGGAGTCAGGGCTGGGTGTGAGAATGGGGAGTCAAAGATGGCTCAAGCCTTTTGGCTGCAAGCTGGAAAGATGGAGTTGCCATCAGTTGAGATGGAAGGACCATGGCAGGAGCAGGTTTGGGGAGAAGAGCAGGAGGCTGATCTTGCATGTTCAGTGTTAGGTGTTATCCCAGACCCTGGGATAACTGTTATCCCAGGTCCCTGCCCTGTCTTCCCAACATGGTGCTCTAGTCTGTACGAGGGGACCAAAAGGGGCTCCTTCACTCTCTCTGGTGGCCACACAGCCAGCCCGTGTCCTGGTGGCCTCCCTGCAGTGCCCCCTGGGTGAGCCCAGCATACCCATTTGGGCCAGGCTGACAGTGGGACTCGGACACCACAGGCCTCCCAGCTGAGCTCCTTCGGCATTGAGATCCCTTCTGCACCACCCCTCACGGCAGCTCTGGGTGCTCATGACATGCCATAGACTCTAGTCTGTCCTCTGGCTCCTCAGACTGCATGGACCATTTTTAAGTTGTGACAGAAACAGCATTTATTGACAAGTGAGCATTTATTGAGTGTTTCCTATGTGCAGAGCACTGTGCTACACAAGACGGATGGGGGAAGATAGAGAGGAGGGTGCCATCTGAGAACCAAAAGGAGCCCTGCCCCCAGAGGGCTCATCGTCTAGCTGGGAGGCACTGCCCAGATACAGAACTGCAGCTTAAAGACCCAAAAGAGTATTGAAGAAACCCGCGCAGGGGCAAAGTCATCTGGAGCAAAGTGGGAGTGCAGAGGTGGAGGCAGCTGAGGCCCAGTGGCCGGCCCCTCCTCCCCTCAGCTCAGAATCTCCTCATTCTCCAGCTGGGGACCTGAAGTTCTGTCCATCTGCCTCCATGCTGCCCTGCCTCTGTCTGGTTTTGTATGTGGCCTCCACCCTTCTCCAGACTGGGTGCCCTTTGAGGGCAGAAACCAGCCTGTGTTCTCCGTCATTGTCTCCCCACCTGGCACAGAAAATGGGACACAAACATGCTTAATAGGTGTAGTTCCCCTCCATCCCATTACTTGAATCCTGCTTTGACTTCTGACCTCAGTGATCCCAATCTGGGTGATCGGGGCTGGAAGCAGTGGGGATCTCACATTTAGTTCAGGGGACAGTGTCGTCTTGGAAGAGGAACAGCTGTAGGGAGAAATTTTTGGCAACTTCTGGAGGGATCTGTGGAGAAGGAAATGGCAACCCACTCCAGTATTCTTGCCTGAAAAATCCCATGGACAGAGGAGCCTCGTGGGTCAGAGTCGAGGAGTTGCAAAGAGTCAGAAACTATTGAGTGACTGAGCAGAGAGGGATCTGTTGGGGAGAAGTGAGGAGGGGATAAAATACCTGAGACACGTCAAGGCTTGGCTTACAGCTCAGAACCTTGCTGCCTTTGAAATTCTAGTGCAAGGACACCCAGCTGCCAGAAGTACAGCCTGGGGGTTACTTTGGACTCTGACTTGACCCTTCCTCCAGGAACGAGGCCAGGTGACTGTCATCAGCTGTTCAAAGATTGGGAGAATCATCTCCATAGCATCTATGACTGAGGGCAGGCTTTTTCTAACCCGAAGGAAGGTTTGCTCAAGGAACACAGAAAAGAGCTTAGAGGAGGCAGTGGGCATACTTACAGATATGTGTTCCTTATCCAGTTTGTCTCTGAAGGGAGTGGAGGGCCTGAAGGGGCTGGAAGCTCTGGTGCATAGTGATACTTGTGCAGTGTGGGACAGACACAGAGAAAAGCCTTGAAAGCATGAAGGCATCAGAGCACGGAGAAGAGGGCTCACGGTGTGGTCCTTAGGTCAGCTATGCAACAAGCTGGAGAGGGAGGGGAGCACGGCTGACATGGGTGGTGGGAGGAGGGGAGGCGAGGGGAGAACAGTCAATGTGCAGGCTCAGGGTTGGGATTGGTGAAGAGGCTGGATCAGGATGGGGCTAGCCCCACACCCATCTCCTGCTGGTACCTTGGGGCCCCAGGGCCTGCCTTTGCTTTAACCACCAACTAAAGGAGGTACAGGAGGCCAAAGGTCATGCCCCTTCTGCATTCTCCCCCCCACCCCACCCCACCCCACCCCCAGGAACAGAAATAACGAAATGATCCCACTAATGCGTGATAATGGTATGAGGACTTACAGTTCACACAGCATCTTTACATGCATGATCTCACTTAATCCCAGTTAATCTCATTTGAGAAACATTGCACTGGCCTGGAAATTTAGAAGGCCCGGCTCTAGACATAGACCTGTCTCTGCCTAGGCAAGTCATTTCCCCTTCTTTGGCCTAGAGAGTGCTAGGCTGCTCTCTCCACAATAAGGTCCTATGGGGGGAGCCAGAAGGGAGGGGGCAGAAGGGCTGGGGAGGTGGAAGGGAGAGAGGGGAAGAAGAGCTGCTTCCTGGGAAGGGGCCAGAAGTGGGATAGGTGATGGGGACATGTTGCCTGGTGCCTGTGGTTACGTGCCTGAGTGCCTTGCCCATCTAGCCATAGGTGTGTGCTGGGTGAGAGGGCTCACTTGCGAAACTGAGTGTCTCCTTTCAAGAAGTGTCTAGTTGCAAATCTTCCTCCTCCCAAGACAAAGGCCAGGGGCCCACTAAGGCCTTTTGTTTTCTCTGCCACAGTGGGAGGCTAATCTCTCAGTCTGGAGCCCCCCCACCCCTCCCAGATGGGGTCGCAAGTACACCTGCTGGATATGCACATACACACATATGCCTGCTTCTTCCTGGACGAGGTCCTCTCCTAGGGCAGGAGGGAGGTCCTTGGCCCTCAATTTCCCTCTGTCCGCTCCTATCCCAGGCCAATTCTGGGGGAGCTGTCTTCTGGTTGAAACCTCGCTACCTCTAGCGAGGGTTCCTGGCAAATCTTAGGACCCAGTGCTGCAGCTTGGGGAAACTTTCCTGAAGGGGCAGAGCCGGGAGTGGAAATCAGTGCCTCCCTCCAGCCCTCTCAGAGTGGCCTCCACACCCTCCTCTTCCCTTCTACCGGGGAGCGCGCTTAGCGCTCCTGGGGACAGGACGCCTTCACTGCAGAGGACGCGGACTTATTGCAGGTGGGGAGGGAGGGGTCAAGAAGGGAGTGAGAGATGATCAGCCAGGGCACACTTGCGCCAGCGCAGGCACACCTGCTTACACTCAGGAGTGTGCACAGCCCTGCACTTGGGGACAGAAAGGCACTGGGGGACGAACACGCAAAAAATCCTCGGGCACCTTTTCCAGCTGCCGCCCCCCAGCACCCCAGTACACTTGCGCAGGCTCTCAGAGGAGGCTTCTAGCTCCGCCTTCCCTCCCCAGCTCGGCGCCCTTGTCCCCAGCTCCCTGCCAGGCGCCGCAGGGTCCACTACTTGCTGCCCCGCAGCCTCAAGCCAGGGGAATCTGCCAGGCTCACCGCGGTGCCCGGGGCCCTGGCCGCTCGGCGCGTCTTGGAAGCAGCTACTGTGCCCTGGGGGCCGGCTTCGAGTCTGGGGAGAGGGGCTCCGGCGGGGTGGCGGGCGGGCGGGCGAGCTCCCCCAGCCCGTCCGGGCGCTCAGGCCTTGCTGCCGCGCGGGAGGCTCTGCGGGGAGTGCAGCTCCACCGACTGCCGCCGCCGCACTTCGCGCTCCTCCCAGTCGGTGTCGGGCTCCAGCCCCTTCAGCACCGCCAGGCGCTCCGACAGGCTCTTGGCGGGCGGGAACAGCACGTAGTTGTAGAGGAGCGAGGCCACGATGGCGCCAACCAAGGGTCCGATCCAGAAGACCTGCGGGGCGAGCGAGAGGGCGGCTCGAGGGATGCTCCTCTCCCCGTTGGCGTTGAAAGGGGGCCTCGCGCGGTGAAGGGTATCAAACGCTGTTCCGTGTGAATAGTGAGCAGGAGCGAGCAGCTGGGAAGACTTGTTAGTTGGGGGCTAATGGGGCGAATTCGGTGCGGACTCTCTGGTAACCTTGGACAAGTTACTTGCCCTCTTTCTGCCTGTTTCCTCACTCTAATACCTAATGCCTAGGGTTGTTGTGAAAACCCTATGAGTCAATATTTGCAAAGCACTTAGAATAAGTCCTGGCACATACTAAGAAAGTACTAGATAAGTGCTAAATGATAGAAATATGTAGCCTAGTATAAATATTACCATTTATCTAATTCGAAGGCACTGCGTCATCTCTTTTAAACCGGTAACCTCACTTAATCTTTCCCCAAAGCCAAAGGAACAACCACTCTTATCCTCATTTGTAGATGTAGAAACGGAGTCTCTGGCGTCAGACCTGAAAGGTGGACCCAAGGCTCCCAGTAGCCCCAGGAGGAGGACTGGGGGCGGGGTGGATTTGCTGATCCCACTGCTCTCCCTTCTAGTGGAGATGGGTTTCTGCAGGAGGGGAAGACAGGGAGGTTTCGGCCATTACCCAGTGGTCATCAAACTTGCCGGTGACGATAGCTGGAGCCAGGGAGCGGGCAGGATTCATGGAGCAGCCAGTGTAGTGGATCTGCAGTGGAGGCAGGAGTCAGGGAGGGAAGTGGGGTGAGGATGAGGCCAGAGTCTTTGTTCCCCTCTCCAGTGCTTGACCTCAACCTAAAGGGCATTCATGGATGGACAGTTAAGTTCCTGCTATATTTACAGGGCATGCTATTCATTTGAAGCTGGAGTGCTATCTGTCCCTTTGTGGTGCCTTGGGGTCAAACCCTCTGGAGTATGTCCATGTGTCTGTCCCTCTTGGGAGGTCTGTGTATCTGTCCCTCTGGGGGTGTCTCTGTGGCTGTCACTTTTGGGGGTTCTGTGTCTCTACCTCTAGAGCAGTCTGTGTATATGTTTCTTTGGGGGAAGGTCTGTGTCTGTCCCTCCAGGGAGGCTGGAATCAGTGGCCATGACCTACCCCAAGGAGGTGGCCCAGGGCCACAGAGAACCCGATGGAGAGGGCAGGGGTGCCCACGTTGTCTCCACGGCGCTCATCGGTGGAGGCGAAGATGCAGAGCACGAGCTGCAGTGTCAGGAAAAGCTCTACAGTAACCGCCTGGCCAGCTGTCGAGTTGTTGCTGAGCTGGGGACAGAGGAGGGGGCACACTGAGCATGCTCCCCACATTGGTGTCATCTTCCTGCCCACCTGCAGCCAGGGACCCAGATAGGCTTCCGGGCGCAATCCACTAGGGCGCACCAGCCACCTTAGTCCACACTGCTGGTGGGTTCTTACTGGGCCATGGTACACAGGCAGGGGGATGGACCTGTGGTTCCCAGGCTAGAGGTAGGGAAACTGACTCCATAGCCCCTTAGGTTTGGTGACTGGGATTGTGTGCCTGCAGTGTGAGAGGAAAGGGGTACTGAGATGTGGCATTTCTGTTTCCTGAAGAACAGGGAGCGAAGAGGTTTTGATTGCAGCAGGAAGTTTTAGGCCTGGTTACAGGAAGGCCTTCCTCGCTATTTAAGCCACAGGATACTGGTGTAATGAGAGGCCAGTGGTCTTTCCTCCTATGGTCAAAGGGCTCCCAGGAACAGGATCAAGGGACTAGCTCAGGGGCTGGCGCTAATGTGTTCCCTTCCCCCAGGAGTCCAGTGTACAACTGTGCTTGTTCCCCTTGACCTTGCCTATTCCTACTGCATTCAGGCGTCAGTTTTGCCCTGTGGATTTGCTCTCTGCACTTCCTGCAGAGGTTGAGGTGGGGGTCCTGGAGCCCTGTACTGTGATGCCTCCACCCCCATGTGGAGTGCCCATGGTCCCAACAGACCTTACCTTGTAACAAGAAAACCTGGGGCTGAGTGAAGAGGCGATTTCATAACTTGGCCGCACCCAGTACTGGATTTCTCTCTGGGTTTTGTTATCTTGAACCTTACACCCTGCCCTCTGGGTCTGGGCACTGTGCTGGGTAAAGCTGGGATAGCCCTGAGCTCCCATACTCCTTCTCCAGGCTCTGAACCCCCACCTTGGATCCTAACCATCGAGATGGCACCCTTGGGCCTCTCTGGAGTTTAACCTCAACTCCCCCTCATCTTCCAAAGTCAGAGCCTATAGTGGGGGGCAGTGAACAGCTTTGGAGGCAGATACTTTGGAGCCTCTGACTTTCTGTGGGGCTCTATTTATTTCAGCCTCAGTTTGTCTTTCTGTAAAATGGGGATAGCAGAATGGATCCTGGAGGACTGTGAGACAAATGAAATGACAAAGGCAGAGCCCAGCCCCATTCCCTGGTAAAGAGTGGTCTAAAGGAGAGCGTATGGACATGGGTTCGGTGCCAGACAGCTCTGGGTCCATTTCCAGGTGCTGACACGGCTCTGTGATTTGAATCAATTGAATGCTGAACCTCAATTTTACCACTCACAGTGGAGGATCCCAGAATTCTCCTTACAGTGTTGTACCAAGAATGAAATGAAATCTGGCCTGCCACAAAGCAGATATACATCAGTGGTAAATTCTTGGTGGGCAGACTGGCTTTTCCATTGACTTCAGCCATGGGGGTCATCTGGCTCTTGCTAGCCTCAGGACAAGTCAGTCTCACTGCTGCCCCATTCCAGCCAGGAAGGTTCTCACCAGGTCATCAAGATGGTAAATGCTGTGCAGAAACTCAGAGGAGCCTTCCAGACCCTTCCCTCCTGAGGGCCCCAGTCAACTGTTAGATGATGGAAGAGCAGGAGGTCATGTCCTCAAGACCCCTTAGCACTCCCGTTGCCCTGCTATTAGAGGAGATTTCCCAGCCACACATTCTGAGGCTTTCTTTACCATGCTTTCAGGAAGTTCTTCTTTTAGTCTAACTAGACCTCATCTTGCTGCAAACTGAACTAATTTCATTCTCAATGGAAATGGTCAGAGTTCTCAGTCTATCCATCACAGTGGTCACTCTTGCCTTCTCTCAAACTTGAGCCCCCAGACTCATCATATTTTCCATTTTGAAGAGAGAAGTTCCCCATTTGGGACACCCCTGCTCCTTGCATGAGGAAGGCCACCTATACAGGGGAGGGGATGGCCACAGAGACCATGCAGGACTCTTCAGAGACATCAGAGATTTTATCCAGTGGCCCAGGGATAGAGAAGGCCAAGAAATGCAGGAGATTGAGACATGAAAGAAGCACTCGCCTTCCTGGCTTGGAAGAGGAGCAAGAGTTAGAGCTGTGTTGAGGGACACAGGCTGTCTCTTCCCACCCATGCCCTCAGATGCCCAGGCCTTGCCCAGACCCAGGAGAGGTAGAGGGCAGGAGTGTGGAGGGGGAGGGGCCATAGCGTCATCCTTAGCTCCCAAAGCCACTGGTCATGTCATCAGCTTATGGGCTCTGGGGACGTTCTCCAAGGTCTGGAGAGACCTTTCCCCTTTAGCTTTGCCCTGGGTTCTGCTACTTTCCTTGATATTGACAAACTGTAGAGATTTTAGCCTGTCATTTCCCTTCTCTGAGCCTCAGTTTCCTCATTTGCAAAACAAGGCTTAGATGGTGGCTTAGGGAACATTGGTGGGGTAGAGAGATCACAGGTTTTACAGTCAAGCCTGGGTTTAAAGACTGGCTTTGGTACTTCCCCTTTCTGAGTCTCAGCTTCCATGTCCTTAAGAAATGGATCTTCTCATCCCTCCCTTACAGGTTGTCGTAAGTTATCCACCCGTGGCTTGCATGGAGCCCCTGCTGTTGAGCCCTGTACACAGTGGATGCTGAAGGAATGTTGGGTCCTTCTTCCCTCAGGAAGATGATGGGGACTAGCTCTCTGAAGTTCCTTCTTCATAGTCTATTCATGTCTGCTTGGAGACTCCATCCTCCATGAGTCCTAGCACAGCCCTTGCTGCAATGCTAGCATCAAGTCAAGAGAGTCCTTGATGTGGCTCTCCCTCCAAGAGGCTCAGGGCAGAAGGTACCAGCAGACCCGTGGGTACCCAGCCGCTGCTCTGACATTACTGCTCCTTCCTTGCTGAATCTCCTGTGGCAACCACGTTCCTGGCTCCAGCATTTCTGCCCCTTCCCCATCCCACCTCTCTCTGTCTCTCCACCTAGACCCTCACCCAGATGTGGTCCCTCCCATCCCATCCTTCACAAGGGACTTCCCAGGATCTGCCCTTATGGAAAGGACACAGTTCTGGCTACTCACGGCATTGACAGCCAGGTCCCCTCGGATATCTGGTGGTGTGATCTCATGGAGCAGGGCAGCCCCGGCCACAGCCCCCAGCAGCTGGGCAGCCACGTAGAAGACAGCACGGAGAAAGGAGACGTGGCAGCCCACCAGGCAGGCCACAGTCACAGCAGGGTTGATGTGGGCCCCGCTGACGTGGCCCAGAGCCTGCACCAGGGTGCCGATAGCCAGGCCGAAGGCCATGGCGATCTGCAGCACAGAGGGCAAGGCCTGTGGCCAGTTGAGGGCTGAGCCGAGGCCAAAGAAGACAAAGAGGAGTGTGGCCAGGAACTCTGCGAGCACTGCCCTGGAGAAGGCTATGGACCGGAGTTCCCACATGCTGCAGAGCCTTCCGTGGGCTGGCCCAGGGGTCTCAGGGGCAGGGAGCTTGCAGCTCTCACTCTCCCTCCGTCTGTCTGTCTGTCTCTCTCTCAGGGTCTCTGGGGAGGCTGATCTTGGACATTTATAGGGTCCCTCTATCCTGAATTTGAGATGTAGGTGGAGTCTGGCCGATACCTCTTCTCCCCATGGCCGCCTCCTGCCCCCACCTCCTAGCCCTGGGCACAGCATGCCTATCACTCCATCTAGGACTTCACAGCTGAATGGTGTTCCCCATTAATGAGCTCCAGATAGGGATTGACGTCCCCTAGTTTTCCGTGTTTGTTCCCTAGGTTATCCCAGGGCAGCTGCCCCAGGGCCTCCCCGCCCCCACCCGTCCTATGGGGATTCTGTAGGGTTTATGCTGCCAAACCCCTCTCTCTGATTCAAACTGTTGGCCAAGTCAAGGGCAACACCTTACAGAACTGACCATGAAACAGGGTGTCAGTGCTACCCCTTCTGGAGATCAGGACATTCTTCCTGCTGACTGACCTCCATCTCACAGGGGATGGAAAACAACCGGTTGGTGTGACATGAACCTTCCAAGGCGTAAAGATTTCGTGCCTCTCCTGTGTTCGCTTTCTTGCATTCAGTCATCCATAAATCATTAAGCTTCACTTGCTCCCTGGAACCCCTGCCAAATATCAGCTTTCATAGCCTGGAAGCAGGGGGCACGGTTTAAGAGGTGCTGGAACCCTGGCCTTGGGTGATGGAGTCAAGCTCGGGTCGACTGAGGAAGCTGTGGATTTCCATTCCATGGTGCATCTCTGTGATTTCCAAAGGGGATAATAAACCTATGTGGGCTTGGGGTTTAGATTAAATGAACCAATGTCTGGAAAGTGTTCAGAGCTGCTCCTGGCCCACAGCAAGCTGTCAGTTGACATCATCTTTTATTAATAGCATTATTTATACCATCAGGAGAGACCAAGACTCCCCAAACTCACATGTTAGGATCCCAGAAGCTGTGACAGGCTCTAGGCACCCCTAGAGCTCGGAGCCACCCAAGCCGCAGTGGGAGGATTTTTCCATGGGGCAGTGAGCTGTGCGGGCTCGGGGTGACTGCAGTAAGTGACTCCCCGGTCTGAGTGCCCACTCAGTCCAGCCTCTGGGCAGTGCCACCTCCTGCCATCAATGCTGCCCTGACCTGGGGTCCAGGAGACATTAGATCCCATCACATCACATTTCTTTGATCTCTCTAGCCCTGCTCCCTGTCCTGGGGACCCAGAGGCAGGATCAGGGTCTAAGTGAGACTAAGAGAACCAGCTTCTTGACTCTGCTCTACCTCCTATCCCCGGGGCAAGTCACAGTCCCAGGAACGGAAATCTGAGAACGATTGGAAACCACAGAGTGGAGCCCCCCGTGATGCCGTGTGCCCTCGGATGGGCCACACACACGTTCTTATCTCTCCTCTTTGATCAAAGTGTTCATGACCTTGAGAGAGAGAGAAAGTGGCTGACCCATGAGTCTGGGCAGGATCTCCCCTTACCTAGTCAAGTGAAAAGTCTCTTACCTCCCAATAAACCCCCCAAGAGGTGTCGTGACTTCTCTCCGTAGCCCTCAATCCACACCCCCAAACAGTGCATGTGTATGTTGGCCATTCAGTCACATGGCCATAAATTTAGAACCCAGTGGTAAGATACCACTCTAATATAGAGGTGGTCTAGCCTATGAATCTCATTTTACAGATTACAACATGAAATGCAGAGAGATTGTGATTCACTCATGTTCTGGTCTGGACACAAGTCTGAAAGAGGGGAGGATGACAGCCATGACTGGGCCCCTAGTCAGGCTGTGCATTCCTTTTTTTTAATTAAAATTTATATTTTATTTAAATACATTTTATCTTCCCTCTAGTTGAGGCACATGGGCTCAGTAATTGCAGCTCGTGGGCTTAGTTGCCTCAGCACGTGGGCTCTTAGTTCCCCAATCAGGGATCCAACTTGTGTCCCCTGCATTGGAAGGCGAACTCTTAACCCCTGGACCACCAGGGAGGTCCCTGTGCATTCCTTTTGAGCCAGAGTGGAAGGTGTTCCTGAGAAGCTGGAGGGTTCTAGCCGTGGTCCCTATTTGGTGAGGAGCCCCAACCTGGGGAGGTTTGCATTTTGTTTACAGTGATCACAGCACTGCGTAATTAAAAAAAAGTAATTTTGCTTAATTATATTTAATGAACAGAGGAAACATTGTTTCAGCTATGTATTTTTTGGTTAGTATGCATGCTGTATGCTGTGTGTGTGTGTTCAGTTGTGTCCGACTCTTTGAGACCCCATTGATTGTAGCCCACCAGGCTCCTCCATCCATGGAATTTTCCAGCAAGAATACTGGAGCAGTCTGCTATTTCCTACTCAGGGGATCTTCCCAACCTAGGGACTGAAGGAGGAACAAGATGCCATCAGTTGTGTGATGCAGTGCTAACTAGAGTGTGACAAAAATGCATGGAGACAGATGGTGAGATGGTCACACAACACTGGGAATGTACCTGATACCACTGAATCGTGCACATATAGATGGTTAGGGTGGTAGGTTTTATGTTATCTTAGAAATAATTTTTAAACATAAGTGAAGGAAAACAACCCCCCAAATACTTTATTCCTAATTTTTGTTTTGTACTTATTGAAAAAAGTCTTTCAGATTTACGTAGATATCAGAAGAAAAGCTATGACAAATCTCGACAACATATTAAAAAGCAGAGACATTATTTTGCTGACCACAGTCTGTCTAGTGAAAGCTATGGTTTTTCTAGTAGTCATATATGGATGTGAGAGCTGGACAATAAAAAACGCTGAGCACCATGAATTGTTGCCTTCAAACTGTGGTGCTGGAGAAGACTCTTGAGAGTCCCTTGGACAGCACGGAGTTCAGACTAGTCAATCCTAAAGGATATCAACCGTGAATATTTATTGGAAAGTCTGATGCTGAAGCTGAAGCTCCAGTACTTTGACCACCTGATGCAAAGAGCTGACTCATTTGAAAAGACCCTGATGTTGGGAAAGATTGAAGGCATGAGGAGAAGCAAACGACAGAGGATGAGATGGTTGGATGGCATCACCAACTCAGTGGACATGAGTTTAAGCAAACTCAGGGAGATAATGAAAGATAAGGAAGCCTGGCGTGCTGCAGTCCATGGGGTCACAAAAAGTCAGACGTGACAGACTAACTGAGCAACAATAGCATTTAGTCCAAAGTCACTTTTATGAACACATGAAAACAGGATATTATAAGCAAAACAAATTGGCTAAAAGAGTTCTAAAATTTCTTCACATTCAGAGTTTGACTTTCTTAAAATCCTTTTTTGATTCCAAGTTGAGTCCTTAATATTTTATACACAGTTTCACATTCTGTGCCATCTGAAGTGTAGTGATCCATCATTTCTTACAAGATTGTCTGCCATGTCTCTGTAAGCATACCTTGGGTGTTTTCTTGCTTCATGTGTGACTGGCAATCATTTTGCCCTTTTCTCAGTAGTAAAACAACAATTTCATCTACTTGTGGGACTCTTCCTTTCTTGAGTCCCATAATACACTTGGCAGTTGTTTTACAAGAAAATACAGACTTGTGGTCATTCTTCAATAACAACTGTTTGCTTCACTCATGTCATATTCTTGGCAGGCTGCTCTGTTTCTGTGTCCCTTTGTACACAAAATAACTTTGTTTAATTGCTAAACCATAGTGTAACTTTTTGAAGACATTTTCAATAGCAATTAAACTGAACAGATGTAGGAATGAGAAGGCATGAAACTCAAAGGACCAAATTTAAGTATGCACAGGTAATGACAACCGCTCCCAGCTGTTGTAAGATACCACGATCATTAAGACATTAGAATGAGAGTAAAAAGGTACACCTCAGAACTGATGAAATATAGCAGTTATAAGACTAAACTTGCGTTTAGTGCTCACTGTCTCATGAACTCCTAGACATTCCTACATACATTAACACTGTTAATCTTCACAGCAATCCTATGAGCTAAAATTATAATCTCATTTTTTATGAGATGAGGAAAATGAGAGAGGTTAAGTAACTTTCTTGAGATCACACAGCTAATAAGTGGGGAGGCAGAATTAGAATCCCAGGTGTTTGGTGTTTTGGTTTATTTTTTTGGCTGTGCCACGTGGCTTGCGGGAATCTTAGTTCCCGAACTGCGGACTGAACTGGGTCCCCTGCAGAAGCATGGAGTCCGAACCACTGCACCACCAGGCAAGTCTTGGGAAGTCTGACTTTGAGAGGACATTTTTAATTGTGAAAGTGAATTTCTACCTCATACCCACCCTGTGAAATAATCAAGATAGGGAAGAAGTGAGAAAGAAGATTAAAGGATGCTGAGGACTAAAGAAGCAGGGATTTGTATGTGGTTTGCTGGAGGCTTGAAGGAGGTGGCTTGAAGGAGAGTCTGGAAAAACAGAGGTAGGAGGAGGGGATCTGTGGGGAGCTGGGCCAGTAAGGGAGCCCCACGTGGGAGCACAGTGACAGAATTCAGGACCGGTGCTATCTGACAGATAACAGGTGTGTTTCCTGCTCTGAGCGGAGCTGCAAGTGCCCTCCATCCTCCCATCAAGGTCAGTAAAAGCAGGTCACGAACCACAGCTTGTGCGGCTGGAACTCTGGGGAAGGAGAGACAAAGAACAGGGCAGATCCATAGTGGCTGAAGTGGGACAGAATAAAAAGAGAGCTTCCAGAAGCAGCGGGTGGGAGGGGTGGGAGCCTGGGGCTCCAGTCCCCTCCGGAAGCCCCAGAAACCTTGCAGGGGATCAGGTCCATGGAGTTCTGGGATGGAATGTGAGCGTTTCTATGGAGGGTTGCCAGATAAAACACAGGGTGCCCAGGTACATGTGAATTTCAGAGAAAACAAATTGTTTAGCACAAGTAGATTCAACGCAATATTTGGGACATACTTACATTGAAAATTTACTCATTATATGAAATTGAAATTGAACCAGGGTATCCTGTATTTTTCTTTGCTAAATCT